ATAAGAGTGTTATCTTATGATTCCTTATCCCCGTCCCCATTTAAAACTTGAAAACTAGCTATACCCTACGTTAAGCAGTTCCTCGAAATGTTTGATATGCATCTCTATTAAGTCAGCTGTTACCTTCATTTTTGAAAATGAGAAGGCAATGAACCTTATTAAAAATATCACATAAGTGATGCCTTATTTAGGTTCAATATGTTTATCACTGATGTATAAATAAAACATTTTAATAGGATATTGCCCAAGGATTGCATAATACATAAACTAGTAATTATTTGAAGGCAGAAAGAATGTCAAAATTTATTTGCTCAATTGGTAAATATTCAAGAACTTGTTTGTAAGATTTTTATTTTCGTTTGCTAAAATGAACAATATTTCACACATGTACTTATTTGCTTTCAACTGTCGAAATAAATTGCATATTGTTTAAATGAATATATATGAACTTATATAATGTGTCGTCTTTAGTTTTTTGGAATTAAGAGTAACATCTATTTTTTGCTTACTACGTGTCTGATGATGAGAATAAAACATTGTTTTCAGTTATTATATGACTGTGAAATCTGCTTAAGGTATTAGATGCCCAATGTCAAACCTCGTGTCTGAAGAGTATTTGTTTTCCGTAAGGATACTGTGTTTCCATGGGATGTAGGTTCAATACCTACTGGGAACCAAATTGTGTTTAATTTTGTACTTTTATTTTGTTTTGTTTTGGCCGGCCAGATTATAATTTTTCTTGTAAATATTTTGACAATTCTGTAATAACATGTATGATATATTTTCAAATTTATATGGATTATGTTATGTATATTTTAAATGAGTGAAATAAGGGTTACTTTTACAAATATTTTTTCTCTAAAACTGAATAGTTTACCTCCCTTATTGTTTTTCAAAATATATAGATAATTATCATATGAAGATAGGAGGATTTTAGATGAAAAATATTACCTTTTTTGTTTTACCCACTTTTTAATAAACCAATGTGTATGCCACGGGGCATATAGTAATTTAACCGCCCGCCCGTTGCCCGTCCGTTCGAGGCTAAGCTGAAATGGCAAGTTGGATTTATCTAAAGTTCTACCTGTACGAATGGCTTTATATGGTTTTATAATTGACCCACTTTCTTACATGATCTGGGCAAGTTACATCACTATGGCTTCCATTTTTACCAAGTTATTGAACTTTTCAGCACTTTGAAAATGGATATGGTTAACCTTAACCGGAAGTAAAATATATCTTAAGTTCTATCTATAATAATGGCATCATAATTTCCACACTTACTTATCATTACAAAGAACATGATATTGACAAGTTATATAACTGTGCCAAATTTCTCCTAATATTTACATTTAATTAATGATATATTGCATATTTGGTAGGTAGATACCTTCAATTGTCGAGTAAATTGTCACTTGGGTAAAAGTCAAGGTCATTTGAATTCTTTTTTTTAAAAACATTTTTGCTTATAAAAAATGAACGTTCATTTTTCAATAAGATGCCAGATTTCAAATCAAGTATTTTGTCTCTACTTGTCACAAATTTGAGTATAATACATTTAACGTATAAAAATGAAGATTATAATTCAATTCTGTAAGCCTTTTGTAAGTAGAATTTCTCTTGTCTACAAACTAGTGTAGTCTACGAATATACAAATTTTAAAAGTTATACATGATACATAAACAATATTGCATATTTTACCTTGTCAGCATGTTTATAAAATAGTTTATAAAATATTTACATGTGTAACTCATTTACATGAAGAACATTTTAAACAATTAAAAACTATTTCAGGGATGGGAAATTGATACACATTACTTGTCGCCATCAATGGCTCAATGATTGTATTCTCTAGAAAAAACTGTTGAGGTAATATAAATATATCATTGAAAAAAATCCAAAAAACAAACAAAAACTTGGTCTTGTGTATTAAAGTCACAATGTGTTAATGCTGGACAAATATCAAAGGGTTTTCTGCCGATTTGTTTATCCGTAAATGATATACGCAATTTTTTTTTCATTCTGTTTTCAAAAATAATTTTTTTCTGTTCTTTTTTTTTTATATTGTACACACAAAAACATTTAGTGTCTAAAAAGTTTAGTCGCAATCTAAATCTTATGTTTATGGAAAAGAACGTAAATTCACAGCTATATATTTTTATATTATAAATAAGATTTACCAAATTTATCCATACAACAAGGATGTGAAAAGAGTAAACAATTAAGTCTTCCCTACGTAGGCGCAATATATTGAAACGCGTGTAATATGTTACAAAAATAAGGCTAGGTAACATGTACGTAACATCAATGTTACACATATGACAGATGTAATCCGTAAGTTCCATACACGTATATGTTCATATGTGTTGAAAACAATTGTAACAATTAGGTACAGTATAAAAGGTAATTCAGATGTTTCTTACTTTACAAGCGTTGCATAGTGTTAACGTTACACTTAGTGTTACGCTTGTAAAAAAATGCCAAATTCCTTATTTAATTTCCCCCATTTAGTGCCCTACGTGTAAATGTTTTGAATATAAAATTAAATTAAAAGACCAAAATAAATTTTGAATTATCAAGATTAGATCAATGTTTTCTTCCTTGTTTCGAATCTGTTTTTATCTACAAAGTCGATGATTGAATTTCAAAGGCTAACAAAAACAGTCCTTACTGGTAGGCATTTCATAACCTCAACATTTGAAATAGGATTTAGATTGGCATCTCTACCTTTTGATCACGCGAAGATCTTTGTGTTACTGAACGAAATGATAGGATAGAAAAAAATGTGGTGTTGTATACTTACAAACCCGCTGGGAACGTATAAACCTCGATATTTTATAACAATTATTGTTGGAAAAAGAAAGGAATTTTTTTTTATCTCCAGTGGCCGGTAGCGTCCATGGTTTGACTACATTTAATCCCTCGTTTGTCTATAAAAAAAATCGAGGAAAAGAAATAAATCCGCGACATTTTACAAGTGCTGTAGAAATTCTACAAAAGTCAAGTGCAAAAATCATAGGCCGCGACCTTCTGTTCCTCAACATCGGTCACATTAAATATCGCGGCGAATAATATCATTTTCAGCCGCGACTTTTTGAGCAGAGACTTTATCTGGCATAAAAACCAAGGCTTAGTGCTCAAACTTGACTTTTACAAAGTAGCTACCTAAAGTAGGCATACGTTCGCGTGGCTAAGTCTACTATGTAGACAGAAAATGTCACAGGTTCCATTGTTAAACTCGACTTTTACGACAGAAGTGTGACAGAAAAAGAGTTTCTATAAGCCGCGACATTCTATACAATTTCGACATAAAATTAGCGGATTGATCGCGTAATCTGACAAGGCTTGGTATTATGTGGATAGCTCAATTTGTATTATTTTTGTATTGTTTTGTTTTGGTCTTAAACTTCCTTAAAATAGCGACACGCACATCCGAAGTCAAAACACGGCAACTCTTTAAGATATAATTATTTAGGACATAAACATGTCCTGACTTGTGTCACGTAGTGATATAAACAACTTTATCTCAACATGCTGTGTATTTATATATAATAAGACACTGTTAATCACTTAAGTTTAGCAACATGGCCTTTTCAATGCATATTCAAAGCTGTTATGAATCAGCATGTTTGTTCACAGACGAAGCAATGTAGCTTTGAAAATAAGAAATTTTTAGGCTATTTGATAAGTCAAATGACTTCTTGGTTATTATATATTTGTTTTTTTTTCCATAAAGGCGCTATTACTTATTATTCCATTTTCCGATGGTTAAAATAAAGAAGCAATTAAAATAAAAAATGACATTTATTGTCAATTTTCACAAGCTTAAGTGCGCCTCCTTTCACATTTTGCCTGGTTTTATTTTGTTAATTGAAATAAGAAGAAAAAAGGTAAATAAAAAGAAAAAGAAGAAGACTAGATAAGAATGCCAACATTTGGCATGTTTATTTTTCTCGAAGACCTCGCTACACTAAGATAATGAATTATAGTTTCATCAGATAAAAATAGTTCAAAAACAGAAATGGCCAGGTTGCATTTGTAAACCAAATATATTGAGGCTGTGTTGTTACGTACATTTTCATCCATTGACTATTATTGTCGAAAATGTAAATTAGTCGGTAAACAGGAAGTGGATGAGCCGCATACCTTGTTAATGCTGTATACCAAATATCAAGAGACTTTGATAAGCAGTTGCTTACAAAAATGATACGAAAATTTCCTACCATTGACCATTTATGTCAAAAGTTTAACTAAGTCGGTAACGTGTATTAGCAACAGGACCACGTGTTAATGCTGTATACCAAATATCAAGAGGCTGTGAAAAGAAGTTGCAAAGAACCTACCATTCATCATTAATGTCGAAATTTAACTAAGTCGTTAAACAGGAAGTGGATGAGCAAAAGACCTGAAATTGAAGCCCACAGTATAAGACCACGAGTTAATGCTGTATACAAAATATCAATAGGCTGTGATAAGAAGTTGCTGAGAAAACTGTTTCGATAATTTCCTACCATTCTCCATTAATGTCGAAAATTTAACTAAGTCTTTAAAAAGGAAGTGAAGCCACATACTAAAATTGAATCCTACAATATGGGACTCCGTATTTATGCTGTATGCCGAATATCAAGAGGCTGTGATAATGAGTTGCTGAGAAAATAATTACAAATGACCAAACCCGCCCGTACGCCGCTCGACATTCTCAGGTTTGCACCTGTGCAACCCGACCAAAATTGTAGAGCAAAATAAAGAAAACAAATACCACACAAGGAAGTTATTCAATTTATTGTGAAAATTATTATGATAACAATTAAAACATACTTAAAAAGATAATAACACAAAGTGAGAACAAAATAGATAGAAGGAACACAAAATAAAAATAACAATCAGAAACGAAACCCACACAAAAAGTCAAAGCAAACAAAACCATATCGAGTTGTATCTTTTGTCAGTTAATTTCCTCAGGGTAAAGAAAAAGAAGTGCAAAAACGTTTTGGGCTAGCTGTGTAATTGTTTAAACGATTTGTCATTGTTTTATAAATTTTAGAATGCGCACAACTTTTGCGCAGTTTAGTTAACGCTAGACCACTGAAGGTTTATGAAAACAGTACTGCTAAATAAAATTTCTTTATAAAAAAATATCGTGTTATCACCAATCTCGTTTTAAGAAGGCACAAGACATTTACAAGTGTTTCACATCGTATATTATATGTGTAGTTGGATCGATTAAAAAGTCACTGGTAAGATTTTCATTTCAAAAAATGAATTGAATGTTGATATTTTTTCACTAAATCTACACGAATTTTATAATAAGTAACTTTATTTTCGTGACGTGCATTATGAATTATATAAAATGAACATACCTGTCGTTCTTTTATTAAGCATTAAATTTGATTTTCGTGTATGATACAGTCAATCAAACACGCATTAAAAGAACCCTTTTAAATTCATAAAATATTTACAAACTGCTTTCCCATGAGCGACTTTTTTCGTGATATAAACGTTGAGTATACATATCTAAAAGTATTTATTCGAAAGAACATTTACATACAAAAACCCCTATTAACGAATTTGATGAGGGTTTATCAAAATTTTATTCTTTAAGCTAAATAACTGATTATGCGTAATATTTTTCGATGCTGTAAAAATCATGTCTAAATCTTTCAATTTTGTGGAATCAATTTAAAACAACGCTTCCTGTTTATTTCCGTTTTTATAGCATGAATCCTAGATTATTTTAAGTCCAGAAGTCATATCATATCCTGTCAAATCGAAATTGCCTTTTTTTATTATTTTTTAAACATTTAAAAAATATTAATACATTAAAAGAAGGTAATTTAGTTTACAAATATCATACACATTTTATATCAATATTCTATTTAAGTTCTTTATAAAAACTTGTGGTTGTTTGTAATGTCTGGATGAAATCTTAGATCCCGATTCAACCAGGTTTATGTTTTCAGATATAATTCAAATATTTTAAAAGTAAAATGAATAATATTTAAAGCTTGATCTCATTCGTAAACCATCAATCTGAAGCGATATGTCATTAAATCAAATTTCAGATAAAGAGATTGTGTTCATTGGTTAAGTTGCAAGTTTGGTAAGAGTAAACACAGCCGGGAGATCAGAAATGGAAGCTACTTATATTGTGAGTAAATTAAATTTTTATTACATTTTAATACTTTTCTGTTACATATCTTGTGATTTTGATGACAGCCAAATTTATATTCCAAATATACTATTTAAACGTATGTCGATGTTATGTTTTAATCAACAATACGCGTTTTATCAAGTTTCATCTAGTGACAGTTATATAACGAACGATTTCTTTTTTGTTTGCTTTCTAACACATGTTTAAATATCTAAGAATGATTTCGATTCTTGACTTTGTTTTTCAGGCTGTAATCCTTGTGCTGACAACGCGTACGTTCGCTCTCGTCAATACCTGTTCTGTACCAACCCCTTGTACATGCTATAATAGTTCCATTAGTTACACAATCAGGTGTAGCCACAAAAAATTAACAAACGTTCCTAGTATGAAACAATCTAACATTCATGTCAACAAGTTGTATTTGTTTTTTCATGTAAACTCGTTTACAGTTATTCCAAACAATGCATTTGAAACACTTAGCTTCGTCAATGCATCAGACGTTTATTTGATATTGTCACATAATTATATCAGCTCAATCGAAAATGGTGCATTTGATGGAATTGAAAATGTTACAACAGAACTTGATCTGAACAGTAATAATCTTATGACGATCCCGTTTGCTATCAGTAAACTAGTTAACCTAAAAACTCTTAAAATTCAGAAAAATCCTCTTCGTTCACTTGACTCGTCAGTGATGGCACATATTGGCCAAAGTTTGACTTTCTTTAGTATAGATTTAAATCGTTTTTCTAAGATGCCAAGGGAACTTCGTTATCTTCGAGTATTGCAGAGTCTGAGATTAAACCACATACCGTTTTCGCATATGGACATGAATGCATTCCAAGGAGTTGACCATACACTTAAAACTCTATACCTTGAATATTCTAAACTTGAAAAGATGCCCCTTTCCATATGTCGCCTGCGTCATCTAACATCATTGTATTTCTTATACAATAGCTACCTTAATGAAAACAAGTCCTCTATTCTGATGCCATATGGTTGCAAATTGCCTTTTGTCACAACTCTAAGCTTTCATTCAAACAGTCTCCATATGTTTCCAGATATTTTTGCGATCTTTCCATCACTTACATATTTACACATGCTTGGAAATAATCTTCAATACATAAATTATGAAAAAATCCCATTTGATTCAAATCTTACAACATTGCTCTTGTCAAATAATCTTTTCGACAGAGTACCATATGCATTAAACAGGCTAAAAATGTTAAGGTCTCTTAGTCTTGGCGGTAATAACATTAAAACAATTGACACACCTGACCTTGTAGGATTGAATTCTTTAACAGACTTAGATATTTCGTCAAATCCCATTATGTTTATAGCACCCGATGCATTTAAACATAACGTTAACTTACGTTATCTTAGTTTATATAACACTCATCTGAAACATATTCCTGTTGCAGTGACTACTTTGACAAAACTTTTTGACATTGATCTTTATAGAATGTCAATTGAGTGTACATGTGACATGTCTTACTTAAAACATTGGAATGTTGCAGCTATTTACAGGTTTGAAGGAAATTGCGCATTTTCTTCTGAAAGTATCAAATATTTTATCATGCATTCCTTACAGTCTTGCCCGTAGACTAATAACGCGTACATTACAGAACAAATCGAGTATATTTCCTTTTTGACTGTGTAACTACGTCAAAGTTCTAATGACCCGTATACTCTTCATTCAAAGCAACGAAATGTGTCTTCATAAATTTAGCTGGGTAAATCATTTATAAGGGAAATATACCATTTGTTTGCAACAATGGATGCGTTGTGAGTTTTTTATGCTACCTTTTTGACATTATTATGCATATTTTAGTAACATAATTTGACAATTATTGAATCTGGTTTAGCAAAATAATCACATGGTAAATATACAATTGCTAATATAATCATAAGTATTTCCGAATCTATTGATTTATATTTTATCACGATTTGATTTTCAATCAAATGAAATGGGATTATGTTAGTGAAAAAGTAATTTCTTACATAAGACGTTGCGTCCTTTCAACGTGAATAGTGACCTAGATATCCTTGATATAAAATATCATGTTGTCATAAAGCCTACGAAATGTAACAATTTTTTATTACTCTAAACAATTTTGTAATGTAGGTATGTTGTTATAATTTCAATAAAGTTATTCATTCACCATACTGATTTATGATTTATTATCTATGCTCATTCTGCTGTTTGCAATTGGTATTATGATAATTATTTAGTATTTTGTATGGAAGTTGAAATACTTATTTATTTACATTCGTGTTACTTATTGAGACGTTAATACGCGTTTCAGTGCTACTATCAATATAACTTGCTCTAAATCCATTATAGCGAGCTCGAAGAGCAGGCCCGAAGGACCTGATCGCAAAGCGAGCTTTACGGTAACGAGAGTACCTGCTAAGTGATGGTTTTGAATTTTTTTGTTTGTTTTAGTTTTATTTATACTGGGCGCCGGTAAACCCATATGTCCCAGACTATCGGCCTCTGTTACGATTGCTGGTCGTAGAGCCTGCAACGGAGGACTTAATTCGCCTGCAACGTCGTCGATCGTAGAGCCGCGACGGAGGTCTTTTCATGCTGTCGTTCGCCGTAGATCTTCTCTAGGACCCATTTACTCGCTTCTTGAACAAGGTTGACAATAGAGGAAAGGCACCTCTTTCGGGAGCAGCAGCGCTCTTTAGGGCCACACCATTCGCCGTTGGTTAGGTCACACCAGCTAAGTGACCTAACTAGGTCACCCATCTGGTGTGACCTATGCCTTCCGAGCGACGTGCACATAAAATCAAATTTTAGGATTTATAATTCATATCTGAAATGGACGTCGTGAAATGGCAACCTACAGGAAGTTTGTATTGACTCTGCCTATATTTCTATTTATTCTTTATGTAATGAATATAGGGCATACAAATAATTATTTTGACTGTCATTTATAAAAAATTGTTCAATGTACGTTAATCACACAAAACTGTACATAATTCTTCAAACGATCGTGATCACGCTAAGAGTCCCATTTCGGGAAAAGAACTTTTGCAAAAGTTTGTATTTTGGCTTGATGGTAGTCGTCAAGTGATTCAGAATGCAATTTAGAATGGGAACGATAAAAATACAGGAAACCAAATAACCTTGATCGCAGGCGTGCTTCGATAAATAACAGTGTCGGTTAACTGCTTGTACTGATTCCCGGCGTGCTAAAAATATAATAAGACAGGGAACCAAAAATAACCTCCTATGGAGAGCAAGCAAACTTATTACCCATAAGTTTGATGAACTTCCGACAAAAGTTTTTAAAACCATCCTTTCTGAAGATACTTGGGTTATCGTTATTATCATTTCCCCCATCTCTTCATGCTCATTTTTATTATATGAGCCGCGTCACAACAAAACTAACATAATGAGTTTGCGACCGGCATGGATCCAGAACAGCCTGTGCATACGCGCAGTCTGATCAGGATCCATGCTGTTCGCTTACCAACTCTATTACAAGTAAAGAAACTGATAGCGAACAGCATGCGGATGCGCAGACTGGTCTTGATCTATGCTGCTCGCAAACGCACTATGTTGGTTTTGTCGTGACACGGCTCATATGTTTACATTACAATTTTATACGTTAATTAATTTATCTATAATAGCTGTTTTGTTTTTATTCTAATATTACCATTTTTAAATGCGTCCTATATTTTAAATTTCTAACATCGTGAAAAATTTGCAATTGAATAACACAAAATATCTTGTGTATGGTGAGAAGCGTTCCTATTTAACTGTATCTATCGCTGTTAAAATAGTTTCTGATTTTAGCTGAATACAAATGGCTTTCTTGCAAGTACTACGTTATTGTTATAAGCTATTGTTTTTTCAAGAATACTGTTAACAAAATATTGTTCTTTACTTCAAATGTTATTGCAATTTTTTCTTCAACAAAAACTTGACATACTTAAATGCAAGAACGGGTTAAATCCTTATATAATTTAATAAGAGGTAACTTGTAACTGCACTATGGTGACGAATTGTCTCTCATTATTTATTGTTCAATACATATTAATCTTTATTACATGTATTTTATTTGTTGTTTTTCTGTACATTCAGTTCAATATTTGATAAAAATAAATGCTATGGAAAAAATGTTTAACAATCTTAGTTAGTTTTTAACAGGTAATAATGTATTAAAATCAATAGTGTATTCATTTTTGTATACATGTATGACATTGTTATAGAGATATGAATGTGCAATAGAATTGCTTTACAGCATTTTGTGTTATGACTAATACGTTTGCTAACGTTCATTCTTTAATTGAACCAGTCGAAATACGCAAAATATGTGTTTGCTTTTTCTTCACAATTTACCGACACATTTGTATAGGAAGTCCTTTTTTATTTGTAACATACCATATATGTTGTTATGAGAATCGTGTGTTACAGTTGTAAATAAAAATGTGAATACCAATAAATCATATTTATAAATTATGCAGAAAATGTGGTTTTCATTGCAAAATAGAATATGTTAAATACATTTCAGAGAGCATTTTTATCATAACTGATTGATATAATGAAACATTCCTTTGTCCGTTATACACTTAGAACTTTTCATCTTTTTTATGAAAATTGTTTGCAAGAAATGTCAGTTATTTCCCGGAAAGTTTTTTTTTGTTTTTGTTTATCTTAAGAACGTTACTGATAAAATTATTATTATTTGAGGGATTGTTTTGGGCATGTAAATTTTTCTTGCGTTTAAAGCCAATATTTGAGATATTACAGTAAGATAAATCTACGTTATTTACATTTTACTTAATTTTGGAACGTGTAAGAGACATAACTACTTTAATTTACTTATTGTTTACCAACTGTCATTACAGTGTTAGTTATTCAATGTTTTAAAAATCGTTCCCTAAAAATTATTAAAAGTATCATTCATTCGATGTAAACTCTGTGTTATTCGAAACTTGTACTTTAAACATTCTTCGAAGAGCAAGCCTTTGATAATGTTAAATTTGATTTGAAATTCAAATATATATAGCTAACTGATTTTATGCATACACCGTTTTGTTAGTGTATGACCTTATATCTAATAAAATATATCATAAACAATAAAGACAGTACGATTATGTTGTTTTCATTACCATATGGTCGTTCATTGAAGGGTTTGCAACATAAAACTATAAATATAACTATAAATTTATATTGTAAATAAACAGGAAAAGATGTACCGAAACATAATATTCTGCTGCCTATTTTATTCAGCAGTTTTATATCATTTGCGATAAGACGCATGATTTTATGCGGAATGACGCAATTTATTTTGCAGGTCGTCAATAAAAACACAAAGAGGGGAACTGTTTCGCATTTGGACAAAACGAATCGATGTAAGAGCTGTTGCATTGCACTATCATGAAACACTTAAAATTGTAGATTTATCCATTTGTTGCCTTTCAGAAGATAGGAAAGTTTTTGTATTTTTTCGTTTGAGATGATTTGGAAAAACTTTAAATGCCGCCTTTTAAATAGTAAAGCGTGGTCACACGTGTGCTGTTTTATTTTTTGTTAGATTTGGGTCTGATGCCTTTAATGTCTTATGCCCCGGTCACATATTCACGGATAATGCCACGGAAGAGCTACGGTCTAATCATTTACGGATTACTACGGAAATGTGAAATTCCGTAGACCGCTACGGTTCCAGTACGGACACACAACGGTATGAGAACGGAGTCTGACGGATTTACCACCAAAAGCCCCCCGGAGAGACACGGATTGTTACGGACCGACACGGTTTGATACGGAGCGACACGAATCAGGACGGACGCACTACGGATACACTACGGTCTGCTACGGTATAAGCACGGGTTAGTACGAATAAGTACGGTCTGATACGGAGAAGAACGTATTGATACGGAGAAGAACGAATTGTCACGGATCTATACGGACCTAATACATCTGTCCACAACCTCTTGCTTGCTCATTTTCAAAATGCCTCAAAAGAAAAGAACACCTAGAAAACGAATTGCAGCGTTCAATGATTTTGGCAGAGAGGATTCAGCATAATCGCGTCCGAACCCCGAGACACATCAAGTCCAATTAAAGTGAATTTCTTGAAGGACGCTGGATCCTCAACAAGTTCGGCCATGAGAGCCTCATACTAAACATGAAGCGGTCTTCGTAAAAGTCCATCTCTAATCAACCATCTCGTCTGTCTTCTCTTACCTGATTAGATATGGAATCATTAATGAAAAATGTTGATCAATACTGCTTCTCTTTTACTTTTAAGATTTGCTGTTCATCTTACAATTACATTAATTATCGTGATGTTTATATTTTAAAAATATGTAAAAAGCTTGTTAATTAATCTTATTATCACTCAAAGGCCAGTGTCCAAGGCTTATGAGACACTTCGTTTTATGTACATATTTACTCCATTTTCACGATCCAATGTTTGTAAATTTACTTCTATGCATGTCATCAAGCAGCTCGACCACTGCCTCGGCATTCTGAGCCATTTCAATATAAAGTTGCAGCCATTAAATGGCAATTATCATTTATTAAATGTTCCTGCAAATATATATGTTTGTTTTTAACAAGAAGGTAGTATTTATACCCTTGAAAAAGTACATGATACTTAATTCATCCGTACTAAACAGTGGTGGGCCGTACCATTCCGTACCGTTTCGTGTTGTAACGCAATAAACCGTATAAAACCGTGCTAATCCTTGCCTCTCCGTAGTACAACGTGGCTTTCCGTGACAATGCCGTATTAAAACCGTAGCTTATACG